AAATACTAATGTTTAGGTATGATTTTCTTTTCCTTCACCTTTGGGAAGTCAAATTCCCATAGAAAAGATTTTCCATCCAACCAAACAAAGTAAAACAACATTTTTCTATATTTCATGGAAAATCTTTTCCATGTAATTTGATTTCCATCCAACCAAACACCTTAAACTCACTTTCAAAAGTGGATCCACAATTTATATCACATTGAAAAAAGTATGGAGTATTATCTTTCATCAATATTGTTAATATTAAAATATTAAAAATGATTACAAAAAGAGAAAAAATTATTCATGCCATTGTACTTTTGCCACACTTTTCAAACTTGCAATCCTTGCAAATCCTGCAAGTCACCTCATGTTAAAAAAAAAATGTAATTAATAAAAGAAAATATTATATGTACTCTCATTTTATATTTCAACTTTTACTTTCATACAAAATATTGATGTAAACACGTGTACTGAGACTTACATGAAAAAAATAACTTATCAGAACCCGCCAATACAGGAAGAAAGATTTGAGAGTACTTGTAGTATAACTTATTAATAAATAGTGAAATGACTTAAAGACTTATGTCATGTCACTTTGAAGGATTATTGACCCAAATAGGCAAAAAACAACAGGAATGAGCACTTAAAAAAAAAAAAAAGGAATAAGGGTCAAATAGGCAATCGAACTGCACACAATAATGCAATTAGGTCATTGAACTAAAAAAAAAAAACAACAATTAGGCCACTAAACTAAACAATTTCATTTAATTATTCTAATTTACAGGTTTTAGAATAATGCAAATTGCTTTGTAAATGGGCAAAAGGGAAATAGTAACTTACAAAACCGGTAAATTAGAATAATTGAATGAAATTGCTTAGTTTAGTGGCCTAATTGTTGTTGTTTTTTTTTTGTTCAGTGGCCTAATTGCATTATTGTGTGCAGTTCAATGGCCTATTTGACCCTTATTCCAAAAAAAAAGAGTACAAACTCCATTGAAATTTGTATTTATAACAACAAACGAAAGTCTCAAAGGAGTTTTGCCTAAAAACATCTAATCTAAATTTTAAAAAATGTCCATCATTGTTGTTTTTTGCCCATTTGGGTCAATAATCCCACTTTGAAATATGGTAAATTTTAAGAATGGGGATAACCTTACCATTCATGACTTTTCCCGCCTATATTCCTTCATGACAATGTTCCATTCATTGGGTGTCCATAAATAGGCCAATCCACCATTAATTAAAATAAAATGTAAATTTAGTAACCAATTAAAAAATGACACATCAATGGATTGAAGGGGAAAAATAGGAATGGTATATACTCTTAAATAAATTATTAAATTGTGATTAAAAAAAAAAAAAAAAAAAAAAAACTAAGATGCCATCTCACTGGGATTGTCAAATTGGGAGAGGTAGAATAGGAGATTGCAATTTCAACAAAGAGATGAGAATAAAATAGAGTCTAAGTTAAATATTGGCTTTTAAGGTTTTCACATATTTTGAAAAAAATTAATTTCATTAGCCTGCAAAGTATACAAGAGTCAATAAAGGATGTTGGCAAGAACTGTGACATTTGTCTTTTTAATTTACAATTGGAACAACAAACAAAAAGTTGGTCCCATCTACATGAAAGGGATATAGATAGTTGAGATGGCTAAAGGTGGGAGGAATGCAAAATATCTAGCTACTTGCAACTTAATAAAATGGGATAAGAAAAAGAGGGGCAAAAAAGTCATTTACTTTTGGACCAAATGCAGCCTCATACATAATCAATAACAATGGAAAAATATCACTCCAGATTTCTATGGCCATTACCATACTGTCATGTTCAAACCACTGCTCCCCAACTCCACCAACCTTATCATTTACTTCTTCCCAAATCCCTGTTTTGCACCTCTCAACAATCATTGTTCAAAGAATGCTGCTATTTTGGTACAAAATCTTGCACTGGCAATTGGAGGAGCTGATGGGCCTGCTAGACTTGCTTCAAGTGCTGCTTCTCAGGCTGCTAGAACAGCAGTAGCCCTGACATGTGAAATGGATGTAGCCTTGTATTACAAGGAGACCGAGAGTGAAAGCGAGACGATTTCAGTGGTTCGTGGTGGGGTGAGAAGAAACTGGAGGAGAAGGAGGAGGAGGAAAAGGAAGGAGCTAGAATTCTTGGACGACGAGGTAGAAGAGAAGCAGCTGGTTCATTTCAGGCCTGGAAAATCAGGACTTTACCTGAGCCCCGAGGAAGTTGCAGAGTGTTCTTGGTACCTTAAGGTACATGGGCCAAACCACACTAAAAGATTGAATCCAACCAATTAGTTAGTATAAACCCATATATTCTCTCTTATTTTTCAATTTTCAATGTGGGATTCTTAACAAAAATAATGCTTCAAAGCTTCTTATGTTGTGTACTTACTTTCTTTGGTACTCATAGGAAGAGGCTAGAGTTGAAGCAGTGAGGAGGAGCATTGAAGGAGCCGGAGGGGTTAAGCTGACAACGAATCAGTGGGCAAAGGCTGCAGGAATGAACACAAAAACGTTAAACAGAATCTTGTTCAATGCCAAGAAATCAAAAGAATTGATAATCAGAAGCTATAAAGCACTCGTTGTATCGATTGCCTCTTTGTATCAAGGCAGAGGATTAAGCTTGCAGGATCTAATTCAGGAAGGTAGCATTGGTCTACTTCATGGGGCAAAGAAGTTCGATCCAGAAAGAGGCTTCAAGCTGTCAACTTATGTTTACTGGTGGATCAGACAAGCCATCCTCAGAGCCATTGCAAACAAGTCTCGAGTTATTAGACTACCCGTAAGATAACACTTATTCATCAATCTTTACTTTACACGATAGAATCCTCATTCTTCCCAAGTAATACTAGTCTGGTCACGCACATAAAGTGAGTTTCTGTGTTGTGGACTGGGTAGATAACTTAGAAGATGAGCCTGTAACTAGTGAATGCATGGTTAGTGTGTGTTATGCAGGGGAGAGTATCTGAGCTGGTCCCGAAGATTTGCAACACGAACGCTGTCTTAACTAGAAAGCTGCATAGATTCCCTACTCACCATGAGATTGCAGAGGCACTGGAAATGAATAGTTCAACTGTCAGACTAATTATGCAGAGAACTAGCACTGCACCGATTTCCATAGATGAACCCATCACTCCCCGAGGCCATGCTTCGTTGCAGGTTTTACCCTTTCCAAATCTTCTTATTATCTACTTAACACCCGCCAAATGGAGAATGAACTGATCGGAGAATTGCTCATTTCAGAACATAATACCGGGGCCAGAAGACTTGACACCAGAAGAAATGGTGAAGAAACAGCTTATGAAGACACAGATACAAAACATCCTTGGTGTGTTGTGTGACAGAGAAGCAAGTATACTAAGATTGTACTATGGTCTCAATGGCAACAGGCCTCACTCCTTTGAGGAGATTGGATGGTCTTTCAACCTATCAAGAGAGAGAGTTAGGCAAATCAGTTATGATGCAATGTTCAAGTTAAGGCATAGTAATGTGGTAGATGATATGAAAGGATACTTGGTATAGTGGATATGTCCAACAAACACTGCATATAAACCCTATACAATTTATTGATGTTATATCCCTCCGGAGACTGAGAGAACCACATATCTTTGCATAATTACATATACAACCTTATAACTTTAAGATTACAACCATCAACCTTGGAACACCACTTTGTAACATGCACTAAATCCCTTATAATGTGGATGTATTAGTATCTTCTCTCAACACAAATGAAGGTGTTTTGCTTTAGACTAACAACATGTGGTCCATATCAGAAGATCTTGATTCTCTTTAAATAAGGTCTCAAATATAATTAATAAGTTATATCTTTTTTCCAACAAGCGTTTGTAGTCCAACGGTTAGGATAATTGCCTTCCAAGCAATAGACCCGGGTTCGACTCCCGGCAGACGCAAATCTTTCTTAATTTTTTTTATTCAGCTGCTAAAATGCCCCTTTGCCCAATGCAATCAATAATACTTCTATCCATTTTCTCTTACTCTTAGCAAAACTTCTCAATCATGAGATAATAAGAAGCAGCAGGAAGAAGAAAAGAGATGATAAATATGCATTTGGTCATTTGCTTGAATACTACAACAGTCAACAATGCTTTAAAGTGTTACATTACTCAGGACTGCAGAATGTAGTGTAAATTATACATTACTGGAATCTGCTTCGATTTGGCCAACTATTTATTCTGACTTGTGCAGATTGTGAAGTATATACAAGGAAGCAGAAGACAAGAAAATACATACAGAATAGCTCAGCAGATCCAAACCAGTGGCTATGTTGACCATTTTACTCCTTTCGAACATCTTCACAAGAAGGATCATGACAATAACATGCCCTACTTTAGTCTTTAATTCATCAAGGGAGCTTATCTTCATCCATTTCGGTCTCTCCTAAAAATCCAAAGGTGTTTTTTTTTTTTATTATGATAAAGCAGAAGTTTTAGATTAACAGCACACAATTGCATTTCAGTCTGTCAATAAGTAGGCTAAGTACAACCAGAATAAGGAGGGCAAGGAGTTTCAGGAATATGGAAAGCCAAGAAAGCACAGACAGTTAAAAGAGTGCATACTACCTTCAATGCAAACATCCCAAACAAGGAAGACTGCCTTAAGGCACGATCAACGGTGGGATGCACATCAGGATCCACGTTACTGATGAACAATCCATACAAGCCCATCCCAAATATTAACATTACAGTCCCAGCAAGATAAACATCTGCAGTACAAGAAAGTTAAACTCTGTTGTCTTTTATTTACTGTTTTAGTTGTGCATATGTAGACTTAGCCAAAAGCTTGTTAGTCATTACTAATCTAGATAATGAAGCATTAAAAGGTGAAAAGACATATTGTGGAATGAAAAGAATATAATGTGGACGAAAAGCCATCTTATATTAAGTTATAATTAGCATTATCAAATCAGTTTTTAGAATATTGTTTCGTCTTCAAACAAAAGCATTGAGCTCAAAACTTGAACCGGTCATTACTAATAGTGGAATCAAGCATTTATCCAGTTAAAAGGTTTGGGAAACTCACCAATGGCTTCAACTAGACGAAGAACCATTTGCCCTGTGTGAACTCCTTTAACACAGCTACTCCAATAAACTTTGTAGGCCTCAAAAATATAAACACAACCCTACAGGGATTTATATCTGTCAGTATGATGAAGTTTTCCAAGCAAAACATGCATATTTTAGAAGAAAGGGCAGGCATGCTGTACTAGAGAACACTACAAAATTAACCAGAACTTTATTTGATTGCTGATGACGTATTATCTGAGGACAAAATATAAAATGATAATTTGAAAGGTGACCATTTACCAAAACTGACGAAGTTACAAACTATACATTTGTAGTATTTGTTTACAGAAAATAAGAGATATATGTAAAGGAAATTACATTAAGGAAGCAGAGCAAGGAACCTGCTAACGAACCCCCAATAGCTAACAGCGCCAAGAAGCGAAAATCAAATATTACCTGCTCACATAAGAGGAATAAAGCAACAGCTATATATAATGTTGCAAATTAAAGAGCAGAGAAATGTAGGGAAACATAGTCTCTAACAAAAACCAAGAATTCCACCCAACTTTTAGCAGTTTCCGCAAGCAAAATTAGAGCTATTCCAAATGTTGAGATCTCAAGCAAATCAGTAGCATAGAAATTCCCAATTACATACTGAGTAGTCTATAAACAGAACTACGGAGTAGTTTTTTTTTTATATAAATAAAATCAGCTGAATTTAGTATACCCTTTCGATGGTTGATTCTGTGGACTTGATGAATCGAACAACCGGGTTGCCATTCGGTTTGGCCAGTGCGAAGTTGAGACCTTCATCTGGTGCTTTGGAAGGAGAGTTTGTCGAAGATAAAACAGTGGCGGTTTTGGTGGGCGGAGATGACTCTTGAGATGGAGCCGGGGAAGAGCTCATAGACATGGAAGCATGTAAAGAGGAGGCGGCGCGCCTGTAGTTCCTGTGAAATTGAAGGGTAGAGATGGAGGGGGAGCTGTGAAGAGCTGGAGCTAAAGTGAAGGTAGCCATTGAAGGCAGCTTGATGGTGCATAGAGAGGAGACCAGTGAGATTTTTATGGTTTTCTTTACTGGGTCCCACTCTAAGCCAGTTTTTTTGGCGGGTATTGGCCACTGCCTACTTTCTCCAATCACTAAACCGTGTAAACTAGTGTTTTTTTTGTTTTTTTTTTTTTTCCAACAAGTGTTATCCCCCCACCATGAAGTACCTCAAATTGTTCATGGTGACCTTTCATAAAATTCATTTCAATTCATTTACTAATAATTTTTTTTGTCTAGCACTTTTTACAAGTTTCTCAGTTATCAGGATGACATGGCACTGATTTAAGCTTATATTCAGTGGTGTTTACGTGTTCAAGTTTTAAATTTTAAGATTTAACATTAATCTAAACGCAACCCTAAATCTCTAAATCATCTCAGTCTACCCTAAATCCCTAAGTCGACGAGTGTGTACCGAACAAGAAATTAAAGAAGACGACGCCCCTAAAAGATTCAGATCAAAAACCAGTGTTCTAAGATCGAAGTGCAAAAAAAAGGCCGTGGTCAATATTGCCCTTCTAAAAAAATTAGATGACGTATTCTCATTCACTGCATGTGTTGCTCTATACATCAGTGGTGCATCAAATAATTTTCTTTAATATATTGTTTCATATTACATGTTTGTTTTAATCTTATAAATTAGTAGATAATTTAAATATAAACAAATAGTTTCATTTTATATCAAATAATAATTAGTTTTTAGTGAGTTGTAAACGGGTTAACACCATAATATTAACATGTTAAACGTTCAACATGTTAATGACTTGGGACACGTTAAGGATAAACACCACTCCGTTATGTTTGTGTTCAGTTTTATACGGTACGGAACTACGGATCGTGTTGATAATTGTCAGGTCTAACTATAAGGCACAACAATCTGCAAAAAATAATGCACGCCAAAATAATATGCACTTACAAAAAACTAATAAAATGTCTCACTTTTAAAAAAATAAAATATGTATTTCCTTTGTTCATTGGGTTAGTTTAATTGATTGTTGAGATTTAATCATATGTTTTTACTACAAACTTCATCTGTTATCTATATAATAATTACCACACACACATTTCGCGAATAGCTAGTCTGATGCCCAATATGTATTTTTAAATTATTGTTTCTATCATTTATCAAAGTATCATTCGGTGGCGTATATAATGCAAAATTATCAAAATTTTCATAAAAATAAATATTTCAAGAATGTATAACTATGGTTTATGGTATAAATGTTGAATTAACGGGTACAATAGTTTGTGCAACACAACGGGACCAATCGTTATGCCTTGGACCCGTGTCCAGCATGCTTGCTGGACACGGGTAACAGTGCCGTTAGGCACTGTTATCTCCTTTTTTTTTTTTTTTTTTTAAAAAAAAAAAAATTTTCAGATCACTTTGTTATAGAAGTATATGTTCATAATTTTATTACTATATGTTAATAACTATACATTCATAACTCCATAACTGTACGTTCATAACTCTATAACTGTACATTCATAACTCTATAACTGTACATTCATAACGTCATAACTGTACATTCATAACTCCATAATTGTACATTCATAATTTTCGAAGCTCTATGTTCACAATTTTAGAGCTCTATGTTCATAATTTTATCACTATATGTTCATAATTGTAAGTTCATAATGTTAGAGCTCTTTGTTCATAATTCGATCAATAACTGTACATTCATAATTCCATAACTGTAGATTCATAATCTCATAACTGTAGATTCATAACTCCATAACTGTAGATTCATAACTCTATAACTGTACATTCATAATCTTCGAAGCTCTATATTCACAATTTTAAAGCTCCATGGTCATAATTTTATCACTATATATGTTCATAATTGTAAGTTCATAATGTTAGAGCTCTGTGTTCATAATTTCATAATTGCATAACTGTACATTCATAACGGCATAACTGTACATTCATAACGGCATAACTGTACATTCATAATCAAAAAAAAAAATAACGCCGTTAACGGCAAAACACGCGTAAATTTTTTTTTTTAACTAAATGACGCGTTTTTTTTAAAAAACGGCGTCGTTTTGGGCCCGTGTCTACAATTCAATGTGGACACGGGTCCAGAGCATAATTTGCCCAACGGGACTCTCTCTACAATAGTGAATAATAAAGGTTCTTAAGCCCATTTCCCTAATCTACTATCGACTATTCATACATTTTTGATACACATTGCTTACATGGTATGAATTAACTTCATCAACATTGACGGAATTAAAATGTATTTAAGCAAAGTAAATAACAGGATATAGGGTAAATAAAAATACAAAAATCAAAATAATATGAATTATTAATTTCAAAAATTAATTACACTAATATTTATTTTTGTTCCAGTTAGAGGCCTATAACTTTATTAACTCTTATTAGGTTTGTATTTTTTTTTTTTTTTTTGAAAGGATATGTTTGTATTTGTATGTATTGTATTTGTATATGTACGTATATTGCATATGTATATTTAATATTTGTATGTATATGTATGTAGATAGATGGTAGATACGGAGTATATAAAATTGTAGGACATAAAGAAACGGTGTCGTATGAGCACCATCTCCATTCTCCCCTCTACCAAAACCCTAAACCCTGGATGCGGACGCCATTCTCTCCTTCTTTTCCTTCTGTTCTCCTTCTGGTTGTTGTTGTAGCAGAACGAAGCTCAACAAGAATGGGGATTTTCGAACCATTCAGAGCAATTGGATATATTACGAGCAACGTCCCCATCTCTGTACAGAGACTCGGCACCGAGACCTTCGTCACCGTCAGCATCGGCAAAGCTTTCCAGATTTACAACGTATGTTAATGTCTAAATTTATCACTTTATTTCACTCCTTAAGTCTGAATACTTTGACTGAGCTCATACTGCGAAAACCTAACAATCTGTTTTGTTGGTTTTGAAAATTCTTTTGCAGTGCGCCAAGCTCAATTTGGTTCTCGTTGGTATGTCCATCACATTCATTTATTTATGCAAAATTTTAATGCTTGATAAGTTGATTTAGTTTTAATATCCGGGTGAGGTATGGAATAGTGAGATGCAGTTTACTGTGTCTTTTCCCTTTTAAATATGTGAAGTGGTTTTTTCTTTACTAATCTGAATGGTGTACATGGAAACAAATTTTGAGCTTCAAGAATAGACAGACCTAGATAAGACACACACAAAGATTAACCTTAATCATGCATGCTTTTAATAAAATAATTATTTAACTTGATCTTAAGCTTTTGTTGTCACTGCCTGTTGTTCCTCAGTGTGCCAATTGGTGATATGAGGAGTTAAGCTTTTGCAAGTGTTCTGGCTTAGTTTTCTCTTTAAACCTGGATTTTAGAGTAAATAGTTTTTGCATCCTTATTTTTCTTGTTAAAACAATTATGGTCAGCGAAAGCAACAAGCTCACAGAAGCAATAGTTTTAGTCTCTCAAGGGTAGAAAATTGTTTGTCTAGGCATAATTTTGGTGCCATCTCATTGTTCCTAAATGATTTTGATTCTTTTTTTGCTATGAAGGCCCTCAACTACCAAAGAAGATACGAGCTCTTGCTTCTTACCGTGACTACACATTTGCTGCCTATGGAAATGACATTGCAGTTGTCAAGCGTGCTCATCAGGTTTGGGCCTTAAGATTTTGCTTTTCCTGAAGTCTGAAATGTGATGATCTTATACTTAGCCTTCGCTGAATCTGTCCACTTTAATACCCTACTATTTTATTTTCTAGCATATTCCATACTTCCATAGAAATGTGTTGCCTTTATTTTTGTAATTGTAATGGAAGGGGAATGTTGTTTTCTGTTGCTATATAATTTGCGGCTATAACTTGAGTGAATATGGAGCTAATGTTTGGTGGACAGGTGGCTACTTGGAGCAAGCATAGCGCTAAGGTTAACCACTTGCTACTTTTCGGTGACCACATCTTAAGTGTTGATGTTGAAGGTAATATCTACACATGGAACTTCAAAGGAATAGATGAGAACGTTGCTCCAGTTGGACACATGTTGCTAGACGGCACATTCACACCTAGCTGCATAATGCATCCAGATACTTATTTAAACAAGGTATTGTTTGATTTGTTTATGATATTTTCTTCTTAATTTTTTTTTTTTAAAAAAATAGTCATGTAGTTGTGTGCTTTTAATATTGAATATAAATATGTTAAATAACATATTCTTTGTGTTGAATTGTTCTTATTGTGTAATATTTGAATAGGTTATTGTTGGAAGTCAAGAAGGTACTCTGCAACTTTGGAACATTAGCACAAAGAAAAAAGTATATGAGTTCAATAGGTGGAAGTCTTCTATAAATTGCTGTATATCATCGCCAGCACTAGATGTTGTTGCTGTGGGATGCACTGATGGGAAAATTCATGTCCATAATATTCGTTATGATGAAGAAATTGTTACATTTACTCATTCTACACGGGGTTCTGTTACTGCACTATCTTTTAGCACTGATGGGCAGCCCCTTTTAGCATCTGGAGGTTCATCGGGTGTAATCAGTATATGGAACCTTGAGAAGAGAAGGCTGCAGTCTGTCATTAGAGAGGCCCATGATTGCGCTATAGTGTCACTTCATTTCTTTGCTAATGAGCCCGTACTGCTGAGTTCATCTGCTGACAATTCAATAAAAATGTGGATTTTTGATACTACTGATGGTGATCCCCGCTTACTGCGCTTTAGAAGTGGTCACAGTGCTCCCCCTTTATGTATCAAGTATTATGCCAATGGGCGACATATTCTATCTGCTGGTCAAGATCGTGCCTTCCGTCTTTTCTCTGTTATTCAGGATCAGCAAAGTAGAGAGCTTTCTCAGCGACATGTGACCAAAAGAGCAAAAAAACTCAAATTGAAGGAAGAAGAGATAAAATTAAAGCCTGTTATTGCATTTGATGTTGCTGAAATTAGGGAACGTGATTGGTGCAATGTGGTTACATGTCACATGGACACCACTCAAGCATATGTATGGAGGCTACAAAATTTTGTTCTTGGTGAGCATATCCTTAGTCCATGCCCTGAAAACCCAACACCAGTCAAAGCATGTGCAATTAGTGCATGTGGCAATTTTGCAGTTTTAGGGACAGCTGGTGGTTGGATTGAGCGATTTAATCTTCAGTCTGGAATCAGCCGTGGTAGATATGGTGACATATCAGAAGGGAATAACTATGCTCATGATGGAGAAGTGATTGGAATAGCTTGTGATTCCACAAATACCATTATGATTAGTGCGGGATATCATGGGGATGTGAAAGTCTGGGACTTCAAAGGACGCGAGTTGAAGTCTAGATGGGACATAGGTTGTTCTCTAGTGAAGATTGTTTATCATCGATCCAATGGTCTTTTGGCAACTGTGGCAGATGACTTAGTTATCCGTTTGTTTGATGTTATTGCACTGCGGATGGTTCGAAAATTTGAGGGTCATACAGACCGCATTACAGACATGTGCTTTAGTGAGGATGGGAAATGGCTTTTGACATCCAGCATGGATGGAACTCTTAGAATTTGGGATATTATCTTAGCTAGACAAATTGATGCCATACAAGTTGATATCTGTATAACTGCATTATCTCTTTCGCCTAACATGGATGTCCTAGCCACCACTCATGTTGATCAAAATGGTGTCTATCTATGGGTCAATCAGGCCATGTTCTCTGGAGCTGCTAATTTTGAATCATATGGAAGTGGGAAACAAATTGTGAGTGTTAAGATGCCATCAGTTTCCTCAGAGGAAGGTTCTCAAAATGATGGTGATAGAGCCACTGTAAAGTCTCAAGATGTTCTTGACACTTCTCACTTTGCAGCTTCTGATCAGCAAATTCCAGATCTAGTCACACTCTCACTATTGCCAAAGAGTCAGTGGCAAAGCTTAATCAATTTGGACATCATAAAGGAGCGGAACAAACCAATTGAGCCTCCAAAGAAACCGGAGAAGGCTCCATTTTTCTTACCTTCAATTCCTTCCCTCTCTGGGGAAATTTTATTTAAACCCGGTGACATTGCTGAGGAGAAGAATGCACAGGATGGTGAAAAGGAGGAGAATTGGAGAAAATCTAATCTGCCACTTTCCCAATTCTTGCAAATTCTTCAGTCATCCGTGAAGAGTCAAAATTGTAAGTTCATGGCTTTATGCTTATGGATATGTGCATATTAGTTTCCCAGACAACTTGCACTTTTGCATCCAAAAATGATACATGTGAAATGAATGGTAAAGGAATAGGGAAACTACTCTAAAACCTTGTGTGCACATGTATGAATATCATTGTGTGTATGTGCAAAATCTATGATTGATATTTCAGATTTTGAAGATGGAGATATAATCTTTAATTTTTTAGTGCCTTTTGACATTGCACTATTCATCACTTTATATTGACGTGAGCACTTGATTTATGTTGCAGTTGCAGCATTCACTGATTATATTAAAACCTTGTCCCCTTCGACGTTGGATATGGAAATGCGAGTGCTCCAACTCATCGATGATGACAATGAACAAGATCTTGAAAACAGACAGGAATTGTATTTCATTGGACTGCTGATGGATTATTTCATACATGAGATTTCATGCAGGAACAACTTTGAGTTTATACAGGCTCTTATTAGACTATTTTTGAAGGTATGTACTCCTCTATAATGCTCTCACAGTAAAAGTACATGAGATTACTAGACTGTCGTTGAACATATCCTTCATTATGTTAGGTAGATGGAATTCTCACCTATGTTTGAATAGAAAGGGAGGGCTAACAATCTATTGTTGCCTAGGAATTAACAAGACCCCTCTAAAATGTTATCCTTTGAATCTTTCTTCATCACTTCGTAGAATATACGGTCCTAATAAACCTTTATAATTAATGATTGCCAGATTCACGGTGAAGCAATTCGACGCCAACCAAAGTTGCAGGTCAAGGCACAAGAACTTCTAGAAATTCAGACAGATGTTTGGCAACGAGTTGATAAGCTGTTCCAGAGTGCCAGATGCATGGTCACATTTCTTAGTAATTCACAATTTTGATTAACTAGTTGCTCCACCAACTTAATTCAGGTTTTGTTTTTGGCGTTTTTCTGGGTGCCATTGTAATTTGTATTGGTTTTGCAAGCTTAAGCTTGTTAAGAGCATTATAGCAAAGCAAGATATCTTTATTACTTCTTTTCTTCTTACTGACTTTACATGTGTTAACCATGAACACCTAACTATAGATTCAAACATTGATGCATTCTTAGACGTAGGAGTAAATTATTCTCAGGTTTAGTGGCATAAGTTCTGAATTTATTCCCCATTTTCTTTATATATAATACCAAAAATCAGAAATGCTTTGATACAAAATTGAACCAACATTTCATAAATTCAGGCTATTTGTATTTGGCCCGTTGAACCGTTGAGTCAGTCGGACTGGGGGAGTGGGGGGCCTTTAAGGTTGGGGATTCAACCTTTTGAGAAAAGAACGAGGAAAGAAGCATATAATTGTTTTTAAGGGCAACAAGGTGCTACACTAGTCAATGTATTAAATGTGAGATTTATTAATAAATTATCTATTCTATCAAACAGATTGCAAATAGCAATACATTGTTTTTGAAATTTTATAATTGAAAGATAGGACAAATTGGAATTCTTGTACCAATCGCATTTTTAGTTTTCAGTGGGTTGCAACCAGGAAAAAAAAAATTAAAAAAAAAATAAAATTCTTGATCAATTTCTATCAAAATGATATATCCCTTGCTAGCTTGGCTACTCAGGGAGAACAATCTTCATACGTTTCCACCTCTTGCAATCCTCTAGTGAATTTACTCTGACGCTGTCTGTTGGTGCATTTAAGGGCTTGTCTTGTATTCATTGTGAGGTCCACAAATCTCAGTAGTAATCAAATCATTGTTATCTTTGGCAATGTAAGTGTCAACACCTGCAGATCCATTATATTTAGTCATAACTAACTCATAAGATGGCTTCTGGGAGTCCCCCGCTGAGGAAGAGCCGTCTAATGTCACATTTGTGGAGACCTGTAGAAACAGCGTCTGCTTGCGTCAACGTTAACGATCCTAACAATGGCTCCAGTAATAGAGCTTGAGATTCGCTCTTTCTTCCCTCTTCCTTTCTCATCTCTTCAAGAAGAGCTTTGCAAGTGTCTATACCTGCGCTCGGCAATGAATGATTAGCTTATACACTGCACGTTAAACAACTTAAACTTTTAATTGACATAAGACAATATCAACACGTGAGGGGATGTGTTGAACAGAATCTCACTAGCTATTAGTTGAAATAGAACACATCTTTCAGATCAGTTATATAAACAAAAAAGTTAATAATAATTGTTGACCTGAAAAATAACCTCCATGGACATAACCACTAAATTTCTCACTGGTGTGCTCTCCTGTGAAAAATATGCGCCCTACCGGTGCCTGAAGAAACCAGATGATGATGCAGCTAATTAAGTAACTCATGGTATAGTAGTGTGTTTTAATTTGTTGGATTAATATTAGAGAGAAAGAGAGGGAGAGTGGTAACCTTGATGTTATGCACAAGTTGGTGATTGCCGTAGATGGGGTAATTACTGTAGCTGCCACGTTGGAATCTATTATTCCACCAACGTGGGACTAGTATGTTAGTGGCAATAGGAATATCTGGCCCAAACATGTTCCTCAGTACTTCCATTGCTTCCTTCAATGTTTCTTCATCTGATTGAGCTTCCACACGTTTTGACTCCCCATTCGTTAGTGTCACCACCAGAATATTGGACCCTGGGTAAGCATTTTCCATGTGCTGCTCACATTAATTAAAACACCAAAAACAACCACCTTAATTAGCTTGGTCATTATTATTATCAATGTCGTCAATGAAAATTCAAATGAACGGCTGAGAAAGATTTAGAATATGAAGTAGGTAAATCGATAACTTTAAAAGAGTGATAGCAACAACTAAGATGTGATGAAAGCAACGAGGGAAATTAAAAGTTTAGAAGAAAATGAGCTAGAATTTGATTTGAAGTATTTATGAAATTAAATAACATATACCATTTGATTGTGATCCACAAATGCATATATAGTAATGAAGAATAGTCAAGAATTTCAATAGGACTTTAGTGAAAAATTACCAAGCTACTACACAAGCCTGGTGTGACATTAATGATGTCTATTTCTAGTCCAATAAATCAACATCATCTCACTCAGGATCAATAAAGATGCAGGCATGGAAAGACATACATGTGATGCTAAAAATATTTTATGTTCCTCTTTTAGTAGAAAATGAAGCTGTCATACACAATATTTTGTTTTATTAGGAGGTAAGGGGCAAACTATTAAGCTTGAGTTGACATATTAGGAAGAAAGCCAAGTTTCAATGAACCAAAGAGTGGATCAAACTTCATATCTATCTGAGCAAAGAAATTGAGCTAAGGAGAAATATTCTCCACATACCGTCCAGACCCTACAACAGTGAATTCAATAAATGCAATGATACTAAAGTTGGAGGGGAGTTATCCGTCTATGAGCAATAAATAATGTATGACACATTTCAAGAAATGGCAAATGACACTATACACCAAGGCCAGTAGAATAGGCATTAACAGTTAGATATAATAATGAGAATGGGAAATAGACAAGAAGATGATGAATATATATCATTCACTGACAAAAACAATATTAGTCCAACCTGCCAAAATGTATAGTAGCCTCTTCGCTCATGGGCATAGATGAAGAACTCCTTTCCGGGACCACATGGCCAGAAACTGTAGGGGAACTTGAGAAATATCTTGGTGTAAACCATAATTTCACAATTCCTGATTGCTTCCATTTTCCAATTCTGCATGTTACAATTTATTCCAAGTTGTATTTAATTATATATTCACCTAGACTAGAAGAAGTGAACTGAAACACTAAGCTCAAATAGTTGGACCACAGCCCAGAGTATTTTTAAGATGGATGGTCTATTGAGACATTGAACTGATCAAACAGTTTAGTTCATCTAACAAAATTATATATATTAATAAGTTAACAAAATGCAGATTACTTGTATGGGGAAAATCTACTCTGATCTTTAACGTGATGGGATAAAGATAAGACGAATTGAAATCAGAATCACACAATACTGCGGATGATGCAAAATGTACCCACAGTTTCACAACTAGTAAAGTCTGAAGACTAAATAAACATATCCAAGTCCCTAGCTTTGTCAATCAGGGAAAGTGTAATTAATGTGGTAGCTCCCTGTCCAACAAGGCTGTCATCAGAATTTAATAACCTATAAAGCCAGAATCTACGCATATCTATATTATGTGGTTGACCAACTTTAGGTAGCGTAGTACTGTACCAGTGGAGTAGAGGACCCATATCCTAGCCTTGGTCGTCTGAGACAAATAACTTAATAAAAAACTGTTCTTTTTTGAAAAAAAATTCAAAAAATTATTATGTGAGGTTTAAGAGTAGGGATGCGATCCCATGAGAACCCCTCTCCATGAGTTCATAAGAACCAATCTCATCCATTAAAAAAATAGATTTATGAATGAGATTAATTAAGGAATTAAAATGCCCGCGTGCCTAATATGTGTGCGTATTAAACATGTCCCTAATAACACATTTTTAATCTCATCTATAGATATATTTTTTTAATGAATGAGATTGGTTCTCGCATAATCAGAATCCTATATATATAATGTAATAATGATCATAGGTTATGATTGGAGAGCATGCATGGTCCCAGTCACAAATGTATGCTGCAGATACATCATGTTAATTCAATTCAATGCTCCATACAACATATTATACTGTATCGAAGTCAACTGGAGGTGTTGAATTCTCATGAAAAAAGAGGTCCGCATACATTATGACAGGAGCATACTTATCAAGGTGGAAATTGTACCCCTCACCATTTTTCTATGATTCTATCGACCCATCCATTGTTGTTGGAAACTGGAACTCGAATAACTATTACAGGCATTGATTTGAGGCAACATAAATAACAAATGAATTATATTCATCAAAGTCAACCTCAATGAAGGGATCACAACATTTGTGGGTAACTCTAATTTTTCTACAAACTAAGTCATTAACTAATGGAAAAATGAAGCTTTTAATCCCACATATGTGACCGTGTAAATTTAGTCCTTAGGTTACTAGAGAGGTGAGAATTTATAATTAATGTTTTTACGGAATAATACTAACATCTTGAACTAAATTTATCCTGATCACAATTCAATAACTAAAAATGTTATTTATCGTCAGGTATATAACAACAAAGATCTACCTGGCTGGCATAATTATTTTAGCATAGTTCCAAAAATTTAAACTTTGTTTAATTGCATTAATTTGCAAAAAAGAGAGGGAGCAATAATGTACATAGAAAAGACAAGAGGGAGAGAGAGACGTACTGGCAAGGGTGGTGCGAAGGAAATAAGATCGCTTTGGAGAACGCCAATGCTAACGGACAAAATAACGTAACTGGCTTCGTAGACAAAACCATCCTCAGTGGTAATTGTAACGCCATTCCTTGAGTGCTGCACTTCCCGAACAACCTGCCCCATTTCCGTGAATTGTGTTAATACAACAAAATTATAAACTTCATTCACCTAAATCTGATGATTTTGAAGCTCAAAGATAACACAGTGGCCGAGACATAACTCTAAACCCCACATTAGCCAACTCATCATGGTCAAACCATGAAAATATGTGCACAAATCCATGCAATTAATTCTCTCATATATATCTTAAATCATCAAAGCTACTTAATATGAATCTTATAATAAGGTATGACAATCAAATTTGATATATGTGTACAAAGATATATCTTTTTTTAAAAAAAATTTAAACTTTAACAAATTTTCAATTACCCATTTCATGAAAAGTTCACGAGGCTAAAAATAAAAACTGACAAAGACACTTCATTAGCTTCCATTATTAACATCTTTTATGCCTTAGCCCTCATTATTTGCAGATTGGAGCTTGGAGGTGATTAGGTGAATTATCCATCTACATCAATTCCATGTACCATACGGACCCACATTGAAAGTAAAATTGTGGAAAAGTGGCTTTACCTTCTTTTGAAGAAACCTTTTAAATTTTATTTTCTCCTAGTTTCAAACTTCAAAGAAAGCAATTGGCACATACAACAAAACCTCAATTCATTTTTTTAATTTGCACGAAAGAAATCTTCCTCTTTTTCTAACTTATCCAATGCTCCCCAATAATCTGAACTTTTACAGAAGAAGAAAATTGCTTCCAAAAGAAAAATTTCCATTTTTAAAAAGATCTAGAAGTAGAAACTAAAACCAAATACATAATTTAATTGGGGTTGAGCTGAGGTTTTAGAGAGAGGAGAGGGGGGAAAGAACTAGCAATGACCTAAGGGAAGTACACAGTACTGATGGCACCATATAACAAAAAAACAAATTATCAATTAAAAATTCCATAAATATCATTATAGTACTATACTACTATGCACATATATTGCATGTGGAACAAGAAAACAAAGAAAATAAAGGAAAAAAAAAAAGCATAATGTGTCATTCATCATCTGCAAACAAAAATAGTTCTAGAGAAAACGTCAACATCTGGCAACATTTTCAGAAGATGTGTCATTCATCCAAATCCCAACAGCAGCACAACGAAACAAATGCAAAATTGTGTGCATGCATAACATATAAAAAATAAAATTAAAGATAATTTTGTAATCTCTAGCACTTATCACCCTGTTCCTTTTAATTTTGCCTACCATACATACAGTAAGTTGTAAAAGTTGGTTCTTTTTTCCAAGTGATGATTGGCTTCAATTCCAACCAAACAAAAAGCTGCAAATTTTATCTGAACTGTTTGCAATTTCTATCTATCCGGCCAAAATATATTGATTTTGTTTGGTAACGTAATTAACTTATTAGCTAATTTTAACTTATTTGACCACTATTAGTTATTTGACTTGGTTAAACAATTAATATAAGTGTTTGATTAATTAGCTTTTTTGTAATAACTTATTGTTCCAAAATGCTAAAATTTAAAAAGCAACTCAAAAAACAATTTTTTGAATCAATTTTTTAAAATAGTCATATAATCATCAATTAATTTATCAAACATCTAATCTGCTAATAATATCAACTAAGTCAAACTTAGTAACTCAATCAGCTATCAGCTAGTTAACATCTATTTACCCGTAAAACTAAACTTAATCTTTTAAAATTATGCAAGCTCGTGGATAATATATTATACTCTATGAATTGAGTGCGTCAGTGAGTGTAGAGTACAAGATTTACTGAATTCCGGACAATGATTGCGTTTACCGTGTTAAGCTTGAGACGGCTATCCACAATTTTTCCCTCTGACGTAGAAAGGAAGGTTTCCGCCATTTTGTAAAGTAAATGCTCGTAACCCCTTTCGTCCGCAACGAGATATTCTCTCTCCCCAAAATCTACGTACGTCGATATAGGCTCAACTTCTGCAAATTCAAGCCCTACAGCGTTACTATGCTACTAACAAAAGAGATTGCTGGAAAACGCTATAATATAAAGCTAAAATAAATAGATGACCTGCCATCTCGAAGTCATGGAGAATGAAGTCTATTGCTAGCTCTATCGGTGTTTTTGGAATACTGAAAAAACATTAAGTAAATAAATTAAATTAAAATATTCAGGAACTGATAATGGGATAAGGCAGAGTTCGTCTTACGACAGCAGCGTTTCGGGAAGATTTGAAGAGTCGGAGACGGTGGCGTCGTGGTTGGCCTGTTGGCTCCTGAGGTTCTGGATCGCTGAGTCAACCGCTTTCTTGTACGAGTCAGCAGCGATTCCAATCGGAAATATCTTCCCGCTGTAAATGGAAGGAATTGGAATCGAAAAAAAAAAAAAAGCTACAGAGAGAAGAGCAACGACGGTGCGCGGTTGAAACTCGGTAACAAAATCACGTGCGCGGAAAACTCGGTAACAAAATCACGTGAACGGAAAACTCGGTAACAAAATCACGGTTGAAAGTCCGTAATTAACAGAAGCTCCGGTAATTGCGCTCAGCCTTTCGGCACTCGCCGCCGCGCAATAGCGAACGACGGAACGACGGAACAACGGAAAGATGAAGGAAATAACGAGAGAGAAAGAAAGAGAGAGAGCGTGAAGTCACGCACCTGCGGTCGTAGATGTTGTAACGGGCGCAGCTGTAGTCGGAGAAGCAGGTGCGGAGGTCGCACTGGCGGGCGAGCTCCCAGACGGGATTGGACTGCTTGCCGCCGACGCCAGCAATCCATCCGGCGCCGAGCTCCACCGTCACACCGTCAAATTCGTCCTTCCTTATCCTCCCTCCGATCCTGTCCGCCGCTTCCAGTATCATTACGTCCTCCACCCCATTCAACGCCAACACTTTCGCCGCCGTTATGCCTACACACATGCAAATTAAACCAACCAAATTTACATTCCAAACAACACACACATCCGTGCGCGTGTACACAACATGATATCCCACCTGCGATACCAGCTCCGACGATGATAACGGAACAGCGAACTGGATCTTCCATTACAGAGAGAAGGCTAGGAGATTCAGAGAGGGCTTTAATCTGTGTGTGTATATGGGAGAAGAGAGGATTTGAGTTGACGAGATGGGAAGAATTAGCGGGAGGGAGTCGGTTTTTATAGTTGTCTTATCAACAAACCAACCTCTTTCGATTCACCCTCTGTTTCCTCTCTCTCTCTTCCCTGTTCCTTTTATATTTTATTTTTTTTTTCTCAGATAAATTAGGATTTCACTTTTAGGGTGTGTTTGGTCTGCACATAAGAATCAGAATTAGAATCAGAATGAAAATCAAATACGTGATAATATCAATGAGTTTTAGTAAAAGTATTTTACATGTTTGATAATAAGATAGAATTAAAACGATTACCAATATTGATGTTTGATTGTTTATGATTGAGAATAAATGTTTTAAAAATACAAAAATAAAAAGTGGAGGCAATTGATCATAATATAATGACCAAAGCATCAATATAAAAAAAAATCAAAACAAAAATCTAACGGGGCGTTTGGTTGGAAAGATGGAATTACGTGGGAAAAGAATTGCAATTCCATGGGAGATGAATTATTGAGAATAAAGTGGGAATTTAAATTCCCACTTTTGGTTTACCGGAATAAAATTATTGGGAATTTTAATTCCAATGTTTGGTATACATGGGAATTGAAAGGGAATAAGTAATATAAAGTTCAAAATGTCCATCGTTGTTGTCACTCATCAATTTTAGGTTAAAAGGGGAGGGTAATTTTGTCTCATCATTATCTTTTTTTTCTTCCCAAGAACCATGGAATTAAAATCCCAATGAGGACATGAGATTTTACAGGGCGTTTGGTTGGAGGGAATTTAAATTCCATCCCACTTAATTCCCACATAATTCCAAAAGCCACTAAATTCCTTAGTTTGGTTGGAAGGAATTGCAATTCCTTCATTTTCATGGAATTAAAATCACATGCCCCCCTTGTGATTTTAATTCCATGAATCTTGGGAAGAAAAAAAGATAATGATGAGACAAAATTATCCTCATCTTTTTTAACCTAAAATTGATGCCTCACAACAACAATGAGCATTTTGGACTTTATACCACTTATTCCTTTTCAATTCACATGTATACCAAACATTGTAATTGAAATTCCTTGTAATTTTATTCCTGTAAACCAAACACTGGAATTTAAATTCCCACTTTATTCCCGGTAATTAATCTCCCATGAAATTGCAATTCCTTTCCCACGTAATTCCCTCATTCTAACCAAATGTCCCGTTAATTCAATGAAAATAAGGTAATTGCAATTCCTTCCAACCAAACTAAAGAATTTAGTGGCCTTTGGAATTAGGTGGGAATTAAGTGGAAATGGAATTTAGATTCCCTCCAACCAAACTCCCTGTAAAAGTACTAATCCAAACATAAAAATTAGATTACCAATAAGATGGGATGATACCTCTTTTTAATTAGGGAATTAAAATTTTAATTGAAGGAGAAATCAAAATTGAGTTACTTTCATTTTTGGTCCTAGATTTATAGGTGGCAGTCCACTTTTAGTTTTTTTTTTTAATCAGAACATCCCTTTTTGATCATAGTATTATTTTGACATGACCAATTTTGGTCATCTATCAAAAAAATTATTGAAATTGAATTAAATACAATAGCATTTTGCTCTTCAATTATGAATTTTTCAAAAAATAAACATAAAATACATAAAGGGTTAACGCATTTTGTATTAAAAAGATCGAAATGTCATTCTATTTAACGATATTTTAACGATTTTGTTGATATGGGACCAAAACTGGTCATGTCACAATAATACTAGGAGCAAAAAGGGATGTTCTGATAAAAAGGGACTAAAAGTATACTGTCACCTATAAATCTAGGACCAAAAATAGAATTAACTCAATCAAAATTCATAGTTGTGTTTTAAAAAGTTATTAACAAAACACTACCTATGATTTTGATTCTTATTCCTAATGTGTAAACCCCTGAACCAAATACATTCTTACAATGGGAAAAATGAGTGCGCATATCGTTTCTCATATGGAAAATACTATGGCCCTGTTTGGTAAAATAGTTAGCTTATAGATCAATTTTAACTTATTTGACCACTATTAGTTGTTTGACTTGATTTAAAATCAATATAATTGTTTGGTTAATTAGTTTTTTGTACTTCAAAATGCTAAAATTCAAAAAGCTATTCAAAACAACTTTTTCAATTAGCTTTTTGAAAAAAGAAATTATATCAAACAACTATCTGCTAACAACTAATTTACCAAACACGTTTCTACAATCAACTAATGTTAACTAGTTATAATATCTAATTAATTCATTCAGCTAACGACTATCAGCTAACATCCATTTATCAAACATGGCCTATGTGTATTCTCATTTTTCAATCCCAATTTGTACTTCACACAAAAAATTTTGATGTAAAGACTTTGTATTGAGACCCACATGAAAAAAAATAACTACCTAGCACATCAGAAAGTAAAATTTATAGATTAAGATTTGAGGGTTCATGTAATAAAATTATTCTCATATCCACCCTAGAAGACAATAAATCATTACTCCCTCCTAAAATATTACCACTTTTAACTCAACACACAAATTTTAAAAAACGCGTATATATATTTTTTTTATTGATTAAAAAACGCGTATATTTAGTTTTTAAAACAATATATTGATAAAAAACTAAAGACGAGGGGTAAATAAGTCCTTAAAGTAATTGAAAATTATAACTGAGTGCAGTTAGCATATTATGTATCTACCATTATATATTATGTGCTTTCAATTATTTACATGTACATAAATGATTAATTACAATTTATAAGTACATTATATGTCGAGTGAAAACATATAATTTTTGGATGAGGGTCCACAATGTAAGATGAACCATAGTCCATGGTATAAGAATTAGAAGCGGGCCTTGCATGCATGCTCACGGGTTTGCACGACAAATATTTTTAAATTTCAATTATTTACAGGTATATAAATGATTACTTGCACGTGCATAATATATCAACTGCAAACATCTATAATTTTTTTAATGAGGGTCCACAATATAATATAAAATGAACTCTAGTACATGGTATAACAATTAGAAGCAGGTCTTTCATGCATGCTCAACTCGCCCGACAAATATTTTTAAAAAATTGTTCTTAAATTGAAATGTTGTAACTCGCTCTTATATTCACATATTTCTAAAACATGATATCTGTTCTATACCACCGAAATTTGAATTTATGACCACCCATTTGGATTGATACCTATGATACCACCACACTACATAAAAATTGGCATGTATCATATATATAATATAAATACAAATTAATACTTTCATATAGAAAATTAGTATACGCTATGATTATGAATAAAAGCCATATATATATATATATATATATATATATATATATTTATTTATTTATTTATTCTTTTGGGATAATGATCAAATAGACTCTCTAACTATATACCAAAGTTCAATTAGTCTCTTGAACTAAAAAAAACCTTCAATTAACCCTTAAATTTGTTAAAATAGTGCAATTAACCTATTTAACTTATTATAACATGTTACCTTCAAGTCATCTGCCACCTAAGATTCCAAATAAGGTGTCATGTCAATTAATATTTTTAAAGTTATTTTTTAAAAATAAATTAATTTTATTATTAAAAAAAAAAAACATTGCCATGGCCTGCCGCCATGGTTTCTTCGTTGAGAAGCCAGCGGAAACTCGTTGGCTTCTCCATGAACGGAGAAGGGAAGCCAACGAGCTTATCCGAAGTGTTGAACAAATTTGCTGGCGTTGAATGGACAAATCCGACAGTTTATCTCCCGCCGGTAACTATTTTCTTTTATGTTTTTTTTTTAAAAAAAATATTTTTAAATAAAATGTCATGTAGATGCAAATCAAGCAAAAGTAACTGATTACTTTTTAGTAACTTGTTAAAAAAGGTAATTGCATACTTTTAGCAAGTTTAAGAGTTTTTTTTTTTTTTTTTTTTTTTTTTTTTTTTTTTTTTTAGTTCGAGGGGCTAATTGTACATTGATATATAGTTGGAGGGTCTATTTGACCATTATCCTTTCTTTTTTTTTATTATTATTATTTTTTGAAAAGACCCTATTCTTTTTATAATGCATACAATTTAATTATTTTCTTTCCAACTAATTTTTTTTTAAAGCTTGCTCGTGAGGCCGACTAATTGACATAAGGTGGGTTAGGACAATAAGCCGACCGATGAAATTTAGTCCACGGGACTTAGCATAATTGGTTCGTTGCCTGACTTAAAGGTCAAGACTAAAGGTAGCAGTGTGTGGTTTGAATTCCATTGGAAGCATATATGAGAAAAATACTCTAGGATCCTGCAAGGTTTGGATACATAAAGACTAGGATCTAACAGGTTTGTTAATTGTGCGACTCGTGATTTACCTTTGCAGTTGCTTTAGGGGCGCGGTCATATGTGCATAGAATTAGTCCAATAAAGTTGAGATCACCTAAGTTAGAAAAGAAGCCCATGGATGGACTCGCAAAGACCCATCAAAATTCTTGACAGACGTGATGAGACGACCCACATTGTAACTCCTATTAGATGAATCTTGTGGTTACCAAGTTAACTATTCAAATAAGTTAAGTTGTTGTTGTTGTTTGATTCGAACGGAATTGTTCAAACTGAACCGTGATTCCTATGTGTATATAGTGTATATACTATACAACAATATCTACGATATTATAAAGTGTTGTATACTTGTATAGTATAATGCGTTTAGTGAAATTGCAGGTATATCCCACTTTGTTATAAATACTAAGGAAGATATTAGATTAAAATATAATTTAATTTATCAAGGACAAGATATAAACACGTTATGATATTGTAGTATTGTACCATAAGTCAACTAAAAATTTTCTAATATTAAATATTTGCATATTTGTAGAAATATATAGGAGTGCTTACCTGTCCAAAACTCCAAGTGAGCTTTTGCCGGAAGGCTTGGTGAAGAAGAAGACGTATGGCTGCAAACAGACGTGTAAGCTACTTATGTAATATTTATTTAATATATAAATATTACTTAAGTTCAATTCTTGTTAACACTTTTTTAATCAAGTATGTAGTACATAGCTTTTTTAGCGTGATTTATTTCTCTTGTGTGACTTATTATGAGCAACTAAATAGAAGTGAGTT